TGGTTTAGATACGATCCTGTACATGACCCATATCGCCTTCAGTACAATGCTAGTTTGGTGTTCACACTGGATGAAGTGCGGGTGAGTGTTACGGCCATTAATGCCGAGTTCAGCTATTGAACTTATCATGTGGGCTGTGCCAAAAATCTTCTTGGTTTCATTCCAGTCGTTTTTTTTTTGAATTGCGGCATCCGTGCCGAAGCCTAGGTGGTAATGGTAGTAATCACGAAGAGAACTTACTTATATTTCCTTCACCTCATAGCACTTCAAGCCACATCAATCAACAAATTTTAGTTATTCCCGTCGCGCTATTCGATCTAAATAACACATTAATCGTTTGTCTCTTTATGACATGGCACACCTTTTCCTAATGGAAGCGTGGGCGTTCCCGCGAGGCGGTTGCGACGTATATAAATAATTCTTTCGTGCCTACAGTTCGGCGAACTCGTGTCGCAGGCACTTCTTCTGAATATCACCCTTATTTTGTAATATTACCTCTATTTCTGGTATGGCCAGTTGAGACTGATCGATATCGGTGAAAACCGCATCTACTCGATCTCTGCCCACCCATAGCTCAACTCGGCCCTGCCGATGAATCTCAAGCATGGCGTTGGCGCAATAGTCACGCTATGATTTCTTTGTGATGTTTATAATACTTTTGTAGCTCAACAATTAGTTTTCAGGTGGCCTGTCAAAACGTCTACGAATGTGAATATGACTATTTTCTGACCGGTCGCCGCGAAATCGCTATGAATACGTTAGAAGTGCAAAGCAAGTTGATTGAGCTCAAGCACAAAGGCTCGCAACGAAGTGAGTTAGACGCCACTTTGGTTAGCCTGCAGCCTTGTCCATAATGAAGGTGCAGGAGGTCAAAAAATTAAAGATCTAGAGTAGTACGTTATAAAGCTGGAAATTCTGATCATTATAATGCGCAGTAATGCATCAACAACTTGGAAACGGTTGGTTAAAACTTGATTGTGGACTAAAACCAATTTGAGGCGAAGGGCCGAATACATTTCAAGGCACTCTTGTCCTTTGAGGGGGCGGGGGCATTCATGTGGGTGGCCACACACAGCCCTTGGGGCTGAGCCTCAAAGAAGGAAGAGATTCTGTGGGATGATATGAGCAGTGTTTTCCCTGACACTTCTCCCTTGCTGGGCTTGGTCCTAGTGTCACCTACCATCGCCTCTGTGAATGACCCTCTGGGGCTCCGAGTTCCTTTTTTGATATTCAAAGGGATTCAAGATAATGAATTCAGTTTGAGAAGTGGCCCATGATCATTTTATTTCATTTTCAGTGCAGTCATGCGGAGCACTTCTGGTGGCTCCTGGAGCTGTGAAATATCCACCTGGAAACAATTAACTTGGATGTGTTACGGTAACATTCACCTGTAAACCGGAATACTTCATTCACGGCACTCCACAACGAACGTGTGTGAATGGCTCGTGGACACCTGGATGGCATGTCTGGTGCAGATGTGAGTTCTGTTGGAAGGTCTTTATGACTTTGATCACTATGAGTAATCATTGGAATAAAATAATATGCCACTAAGACCATTTTAGTGGTAATTTGCCCATCTTCTGCACCCCCCCGGGTTCTATAAATATCAATGGAAACCGCATTTAATTCCCATCGAAGCCTCGGGCCACGGGCTGAGGAGCGTACGTGGGCGTGGTCATCTGGGCACTCGGGTTCGGGATCGAGCGTCGGTTGAGGAATCCTCGACAGGTCGGCAGGGGGGTCCCCGCTGAAGAGGAGAGAGACGGGCTGGCATTGGTGAGTGAGAATCTTCCACTGTCGCTTCGGACAAGCATCCAAGGATCGAATCCATATGCCATGGGTCAGAGGATTTCCAATTTATCAAATAAGTATGAGATTACGCCAAACAGCTTCCTACTTGTTGAGAAGGAAAAATTTCTGCATTCGGGGTAGGGGGCGTAGTCCAAAATTTTACTCGACGCCAAACTTGACCCTGCTCGGTTGCGTTTGCGTCACTACAAGAAACCAATTCCGCCTTCTCAGAACCGCGCCACGACGTCGCGCAAGTTTTTTTTTGTCTCGCCGCGCGCGACAGTTCTAAGGTGGAGTTTTGTCTCAATGCCCGCGAAAATAGTCGCGTAACGCAGAAGCGCGACGTCGGGCTTGGACCTGAAAAAATACACTCTCACAAGAGGAACTGCAGCGCGCTCACGTGTCTTGTAAATGATTGTTTGAAGCTCCACGTCATTCAGGCACATTCCCCCCATTGCCCCCTATTCGGGACTTGTTCTCGGGCGCGCCCTTTATCCCCCGTCATGTCAGTTCATATGGCGCTAGTTGATTGGCTTGATAGAACTAACTATGCGATCAACTGCAAAGCGGAGCGTCACCACGCTAGCTTGACTACTGGGTAATAGAGCAAAAAAATGACCAAGGTTGTGATGTTTCAGATCGTTCCGTTGAAAATGGACTAAAATGGATGACTGGTATTCTGTCGTCAGTAGCGATTCTGTTATTTATTGCTTCCATATTTTTCGGATGCTACATGCGACGTATCATGCTTCACCCGGAAACCGGAATCACTTTCCGGAAATCGGAACACGCGTAAGGAAATTGATTGTCTTGCATTTACTTGAGGCCAAATCAGGCGTCAAGCAAACCCATAGCTTATAAGTGGAGAAAAACTATTGTTTAGGGCATGTCAACATAGTTTCGTCGTCACCACTTCCCAAAAGAACGCGCATACGGTCGCCACCGACAACGGCTCCAAATCATTTTTCTGGGAAACACGGTTCAGCGCCAGCACCATCCATCCTTCGCCATACCCGCTCACCTTTCAGAGCCTACGAAACGTCTACCTGATCTCGTTGTGCAACTTTCAAATTAGGATTGTGTACATATTATTATCGAATTTGATTGATTGTGTCACTTGATACTTGCTGTGTTTAATGCTCATTCCTCAACTGAATTGTCTGACTGATTCCCCAAATCCCTTTATGATGGGCGTTTGTCAAACTCTGCTGACGTTTAAATTTTTCTGAATTACCTAATTCTCAGTAAAGCTCAACTGCGAGACACCGAAAAATCAATGCTTATTAAATATTATACACAAGTTTTGCTCAAGTTTATGTAAGTGTTGAAATACACTCCCATTACGTTTTCTGATTTCATCCTATGGTCTGTAGAATGATCTTCAAGCCTTTCAAAGATTGAACTTTTTAATTAGGCTGACGTTTCGGCTTCTTCGCCTTCGTCAGAGCCTGAAATGGTCAAAAGCATGTGTAACTTGCTCGCTCAAACGCTTCAACAAGAAACCCAAGACCCTTTCACTAGACTAGGAAACTTCCCCAAAGGTATTTGATCTATACGAAGGCGGGGCTCTCACTACCACTAACAGGAAGGTCTTTCAGGGTGTGCCAAGCTTTTTCAAAACGGTCTTTTGCATGATATAGGGCACATGCGGGAACCACAGAACCATGGTTAATTTTTCCTGAACGGCCCTCTGAATACCAGAAAAGGGGGTCCCTAGTCACACCTTTTTCACCAGTTTTTCAATCAAAGTCTATTTGTAAGGTTTACTGACGGTCCTAATCATGAAATGGTACTAATTATTCATGCTAACTCCATTTTGCGCGAATTTGAAACGTCAACTCGAAATGCAAAAACTTGTCACCACGAGGAATCGAACTAGGGACCCCTTTTCTGGTATTCAGAGGGCCGTTCAGGAAAAATGAACCATGCTTCTGTGGTCCCCATATGTGCCCCAATGTCATGCAAGAAACCATTTTGAAAAAGCTTGGCACACCCTGAACGACCTTCCTTGTAAGACAGGAGGACGACTATCCTGGCACTAACTTTAGTATGTGGGAATACAGTGTGCGTCAATTGTTTATGCCACTGTTGATTTTTTTCAGTTGACTTGTTTGGAAATTTCGTAAATCGGCAACAGCAACCATCGTTTTCGGCGTGTCGGAAAACTAAGAATGGTGTTGTTCGATTTTGGTTAACGCGTGGATTTGAATTGCTCTGTTCTTTGGAAGAAAATGGGCCGCGTCAATTGCTTATGCCATCCTAAAGTTTCTTCAGAATTTCTCATGTCTCTAACGCTATTCAGCTGCGGTGTGCATGTAAATATATACCATTTCCACTTGAAAATGGACATCGTTCAAATCAAAGTTGCTTTTCAAAAAATCGTGGACATTTTTCAATTCGACCCGGAGATTTTTCAAATAGCTCAGGACGTTTTTCATTTCGACCTCGGCTTTTTTTCAAATGACCGTGGACATTGTTCAATTCAAAATGATCCTTTTCATATCAAGCTGG